AAGGCAGGAGTTCATTTCCTTCTGTAATCCCTAAAAGAACCTGGATATTCCTTAAAGGAAGTTCACCCGTGCTTAGTCTCTTATTAAGTGGGCCCACATATATTAAATAATGCATGCATTTCAGACCATTCCTGGAACTCAGTGACTCTAAACATTGAAACAAATAGCATCTGATCACACACCTTTACACTTTGAAGGAGAGGGAAAATAAAACTTGTTGCTTACTGCAAGTGCCAGTACATCTTCTCAGTAATAAATACAACACATTGAGTCTAATAATGTTGCTTTTTACCAACATTTACTCTAAAAGTTTCAATCAAAGGACTTATGTTGATATTTTTTACCTGCATAGAGCCTGAAGAGTTTAAGAAGGGAATAGTATTAAAGATTATTCCCAAGTAGTCTACACCATGGCACTGAGAATCCGAGCTGCTTCCTGCAGGGGATGGCAAGGCAACTGGGCTATAGATAGACCTGCTGCTGGCAAGTGTCCCTGTTCATCATATCATTGTTATTTAAGGCATTTTCCCATTGGGGTTTTGATTGCAGAAAGTGAACATGTTTCAAACTAGGATATAAATCTTCAGTGATCATACTGAAGAATTTGGAGGAATCTCCTTTTATAAAGTTGAGTGAAATATCCTGAGGTGACAAGGTGGTCATAGGAAGACCTTATGGTTACCACAGTGAAAAGACAGAAAGCGAGTTTCGAATATGTTGTTGTTTCATCTTCAGTACAACAGCTGTCTTCTACCATGTTATTTATTTCTAAGAGGTTTTGAAATAGCAAAAACAAATTCAGTAATCACAGGTTCATTACATAACTTGCTAATTGAGACTTGCAAACTTGGGTTCACTTAATAAAAGTATTTTGCTTATATTGAGTGTATAACTCTTCATTCCTGCATTTATTAAGCATCAATCTCACTTAAGATAATGAGGGGTAGTGGAAAGTTCACAAGCACTGTGTGATGGTTGGATGAATTTGAGTGTTTCTTGTGCATTGAGAGCTTTAGTTTTCTCATTTGTTTCAAAGAAATGGAAAAATATAGAACCAAAAATGGAAAGAATTAAATGATACATGTAAAAGTACTTGGACCAGCGTTTAAACTAGAGTAAGCCTTCAGTTAGTATTGGTCCGCCTTCTTTTTGGGAACTGATATTCCATTGATGGTTACTATGTTTTATTAGCAAATACCAAAGGTGATTTTTTATTTTTTATCTGCATGTGACTGATTTTTGGTGGTCCCTCTTGTTCTCATAGTGTCTTCTGGTTTTCACCAGGATCAAGTATATCTTGTTGCATGGTGATTTATACAATGAGCAATTGAAGTGGCTTTCTCAAAAATTTACATGGAAAAGTTAGGTACTTGCCTACTGGTCTAAAGAAAGAAATCCCCAAGACTTGAGTTCTCAAGACATTTCCAAAGAACATTCCATAGGATATTTTATTTAACGCAGCGTGGCCTCTGCTTCCTTATAGCCTTACCACCGTTAGCCAGTAGTGCATATTCTGTTAAGCACATTCCAGTGCTATTTCTAATGTTTTCATTAAGTCTACTGTTGTCCTCTTGTTAGCATTACTTTTATGATGGTGAATTGGCAGCTTTACATTTCATATGTTATCTTTTAAGTTTTTCTTCTTAATTTATCTAGTGATCTGCTTGCTTGGTTTCCTCAATATTTTCCCTCATAAAAGCAAGGGGTTTGTCATATAACACATCATTTCAACTTGTGCATCTAGCGAATGATCCATTGGGTTTTCTATTAAAGTGTTATGTGTAATGAATTCTGTCTTTAGAGTGACAGGTTTCCTATCACTCATCCCTTCCATAGGGCTTCTCTTCGTATAACGGCAGGATCAGTTCTACATTTTTGTTGCTGTTGGTGCTAGATCCTTTCTCCTCTATGTCTTCAGTACACTCAGTTTGTGTTGCTGTTACAGTGCAGACCTCCTGAAGCGGCGATTGTGTGTTTATCTGCCCCTTACACCCCGGGGCCTGTGAGTTCCTGAGTCCAGGGCCTACATCTTATATTCTGTTCATCTTTGCACCCCTCTTCCATGGCAGCACCTGGCACATGGTTGACAAAGCCTGAGTGGATATATTCTATGGGAATTCATCCTTACTGTGTATTGCTCAAAGATCTAAACATTTGTTTGGGGCTATAGCTTAATGTTTGGCTCTGTCTGTCATATTGGGAGCTTAGTTTGTCCAGTTGTTACTGGAGTGTGTAGTTTCATCCTTTCCTAACACTGATTTTTGTAATCTCCTTTAATATGTTATCCTATTTGGATAACATGTGTATTATTAGCATGCGGATTATATATTTTCATTAATTAGGAAAGATATTAAAAGAAGAGCCCTTTGGGACTGTTTGATGTACCCACTTCTACACTTAGCTTCTAGAGAATTCTATTCCATCATTTCCTACCTGTCATTTTTGTATCTGCTGCATCCAGAAGTCTCTTAAGTTCGGTTTAGAAATCACATTAGCAGTATAGGGGTGTCCGCTGTGCACCAGCTTAGAAAGGCACAGTCTGTGGGAGGTAGGATGATGCTGTGCTGCCGTAGACATGTGCAGAGGGTGCTGTCGGAGCCCAGAGGGGGAGCACCTCATGTAGACCTGTAGGGGAGTGAAGGTGTGGAGAGGTGGTCAGGGAAGGCTCCAGGGAGGAGCGATTCTTGAGAAGAGACCTAAGATATACATGGAGAGTAGCAGGCAAAGGGGACAGAGGGCTTTCTGTCAGAGGAGAGTTAAGAACAAAGGTAAAGGGTTGTGTTCTCTGAGTGTGGGGGTGGGTGAGATTGCTTGGAGTCAGGGAATATAGAGTGATGACTCCTGAGCACTCAGGTGGATCAGGGCTCAGCTCAGTGGCCTTGAAGACCATGGTGTTAAATGCCCAGACTTTATCCTGCAAAGCAGCCTTTACATCAACACTTTGCCTACTTGTTTTGATTTCTGCCCAAGATTCCTGTAGTGTTGTGGTTAAAGGCATGGCCTTCGGAGCCAGGCTGCCTGGTTTGAGTTCTGGCTCTGCCGCTTAATTGCTGTGTGACTTTGAGAAACTGCTCCATGTCCTCCTCACTAATGCATAGATGATAGAAGTAGCTTCTTCATTAAAATTCTTACAGAGATTAAATGACCTCATATTCTATGATGCATAGAATGGCAGCTGGCACTTGGTGTGTGTTTGTTAAACTAAAATGCACTGCTACGGCTGGATAGACAATCACGTTCTGAGAAGTCGACTACGCCCCCAAATTAGTTAGCACCTCGCCAAATGCCAAACTGTCTTCTCAAAATCAGGTTATTATTTTAAAATTTTAACAAATGCGTTACATTTATTAGGGTAGCATTGGTTAATAACATATAAGTTTCAGGTGTAAAATTCAATAATACATCGTCTGCATACTGTTGATTGTGTGCTCACCAATTAATTTCATTTGTTGTAGGGTCTCCCTTTGTGTTTATTGTTCTTTCGTAAAGCTATTGAAGAAATGGAGTGGCTTTGTTCACTCACTCTTTTTCCCTTCTGAGCTGAAGGAATATGGATTTTCTTAGAAATGGTGAGCATTAGGCTTCAGGGTGCAGCGGCTATTAGAAGTGAAGGCAGCTGGAAGCTGCTGGTGATGGAGCTAAGTCTTTCCATCTGCTAACAGGGAGGGTGGAGAAGAGTTGTCAAGTGTTTGCTTCCTAAGGTTCCTGAGCCAGGGATTGAATGTAGCCTAACACAAAAGAGACTTTACTTTCTGATGCTTAGATCCTGGAAATAATGGTCCTCAGCCTTGACTGCTCCACAGCATATTATCACATCCAAAGATTTTGAAATGAATTCATCTTACTGTTATTTGAAGGTATCTACCCTGTAAACAATTGACTTGGCTTTTATAGCCCCTAGTTAGTTGGAAAATATTCCACAAATGCTAGCTTCCAGGGCCCTCAAGGAGTTGCCAGTCTTTTTCCATTCGAATATTCTGGAATCTTGATACCATCCATCTTTGACAACTTACCCATTTAAGATTTTCCTGAAGCTGCCTTTTGTTACTAGCTGATTGTATAGACTAGAACGCCAATGGCACTTAAAACATTTGTTTTTATTTTTGTTTTAGAAGATTAATTTTCAAAAACTATGTCAATTAGGTTTATTTTGGCTAGTAAATTGTTTAAAAATACTCCCTTTTTCATAAACAGAATATTGGACAGCCTAGTGAATCACATGTTTTGTTATCAACATAGACATATTTGATATGATCCAATATGAAACTAAACAGAGAAGGCCTTCAGTCGCTTCGTTAAATTTCTTACAAAAGTATTACTCTTGAATTTTTTATTTCTCTGTTTTCTGAGTTTCCTTTCCTTTTTGATGGGTCTGTTCTGTAATTAGTGAAGGTACATGTCTGTCTTTAGGTAATGGCCTAATCTCTGCAGCCATATGTGCAAAAGCAGTATAATTACAATGTAGTATTAATTGGACCATGGGACTGTTTTAGTTTTAATTATTTGAAATCATCTTATCTTTTCATTCCTTAAAGCATGTTAATGGGCGAATCCTTGGGTATCATGTTTATGCTGTTTCTATGGAGTTAAACATGTGCACATTTACATAAACTTGGTAAAATATTTTGCGTCTTTTAATGTTATGGATAGATTTTTTCTCTGTCTTAAACATTATTTTAGGCTTGAGGAAATCAAATATTATAAAGAATTGATTCTTTACATCTTGCTTAATTTATAGAACACAGATTGAATTATATATCTCTTTGGCTGAGGAGGTATCACTCTGGGTTGACATGATGGATTGTTAGAAATTTTCAGATTTGCTTCTTAATAAACAAGGGCTTTCCATACCTTTGTATACATTCTGTTTAAATAATTTGGTAGGCAATTTAGTGATGGGAGTACCCATTTTTAATAAATACAAGTACTTGGCAGACTGTATGTAGAAACTGGCATTTATCTGTGTTCAGATTTTAACTTTTCTCTCCCTATTTTTTCAGTTGTTTTTATTTCAGTTGCTGCGAGGGCTGTCTTACATCCACCAGCGTTATATTTTGCACAGAGACCTGAAACCACAGAACCTTCTGATCAGTGACACGGGGGAGTTAAAGCTGGCAGATTTCGGTAGGAAAGCAGTTAATTACCAGTCTATTTTGTCACACTGTGCGAATGCCCGGCAGATGGTAGCACTGCATTTGTTTAGGCGCACTTCTTCTAGCATTATAGATCATGGTAAAATTTTTTTCAGGAATGAAGGAATTTTTTTTTTTTTAATCATCAACATCATGCTTGGTGGGTTTTTAAAAATTTCAGACTGCTTGTTAGAGTCTTAAGTCATCATACACATAAATTACATCTCATATATTTCCAAAGGAAAAGTCAGTAACATTGTGAACATAAAATTTATTGAAAGAAATCTCTTTTCCCCCCCTTTTTATTATGAAAATATCAACCACATTTAAAAGTAGAAAGTTAGTATAATGAACTTCCATTGCTCATTACCCAGCTACAATAATTCTCTATATACTGTCACACTTGAAGGAACCTGAATTCATGTCCCTGGACTTTTTCAGGGCATCACAAAATATATTCAATAGTACGTGGCGCCCTAAGGTTTTAATAATTTCAAAATCTAGGGGCAGTGTTAACCTTTTCAGAGGTGACTGTTGCTTTAAGAATTCTCAATAATTTTATAAAAGTTGACGCTGATGCTGATTGGAAAGCTGAGGTCCTGGTCTGGACCCATACGATGCCATCTCTTCCTTTAACATGTTCAGGTTGGCATCTTCCGGCCCAGAAGCTTTCTTGCAAACACTCTCTGAGGCACCCGGAGAGGAGCAAAGTGCTTGCCCGTCCTTGCCCGCCCCCCACCCCTCCCGCACCAAGCCTGCCTGCCGGCCTTGCCTGGCTCTGTGGCACCCAGAGCGTGCTGAGCTGACTCCTAGCGCCCGGGAGTGCTGATGTGTTGACATTGCATTGCCTCAATTATTTTTGAATACATATTCTGATTAGAAATTTGTTCCATTAGGAGTGGAATGGAAATATTACCCTTGGGACATAAAGACGCCTGAGGTTGAGATATGGGCTTTTGCTGAAATATGATTATATTTTCTCACTCTACCCCCACCCCTCCCAATAAATTAAAAAAAAAGCAGGCAATGTTTATTTCTTATTCCCATGTTAGTAGACTGTTCAGTATCTTTGGAATGAATCTACCCTGTTGGGTGTTATATAGCCTTTTCCTCAAAATTTGAAATACAACAAAAGTGAACATTTGTATTTTGCAAAACTTTGTCATTTGTACTCCTGTAGTTTGGTAAAAATGATGACTCTGTGTGTGTGTGTGTGTGTGTGTGTGTGTGTTTATTGCTGATTTTAGCATCAGAACAATACTAGGTCTTTCTATTACAGGGTAGAAAATAATGAGAGAGTAGGTGGTAGGAGAGAAGATTTGCAGTTCCTCACATTCAAGGTTATTGAATTTTCTGTGAACATATTTGTAGTTTATCAGTAAATTAATAAGGATTTATAGTCATTTTTTTTCTGGTGTGTTAATATACTATAAAGTATATGTTGTAATAAATTGTTGTATTAAACATTAAATTTTATTGAGCATGGTTTTCTTAAATATTTTTAAAATACATTTTTGCAATGTTGGTTTTATCTGTATAACCAAGGGTATAATAGAATTGTATATAGAAGTTTACTAGGGGTTGTTTTTTAATTTCATGATGACTTTTACTATAGCAGTTAAGTTTATTTAAAAGATTCTCATGGAACTTTAAAACAGATATTTTATAATATCAGATTCAGAAGTAAATTGAAATGTAATTTTAAGCAACTTAGAAAGTTTTAAGAAAATTTAGGAAGTATAAACAACTCAGGTAAATATTAACATTTTTGTTGTATATTTTCTGAGTACCTTTCTTCTCCTCTCTTTTCTTGCTTCTTCCACCTATTATAAATCCTCAAAAACCAAACATACTGTTTTTCAAGTCATTTTTAAATAAGAATATGTTATGAACATTTTCTCATCACATATGAAGAATTTATTTGTAACAGCTTAGAGTTTATCCTTAATGGCCAAAGCTCAGCCTCATTATTCCGCCCCTTATCAGCTACAATTCTAGTTCTTTCTAATGATTCCCTATGACGCAGTCCTGTATGGAACACGCTTGCAGGGAAAGCTGTATATTAAAACCTATAATTCTTCAGACGAGACTGCTCCGCAGAGAGGCTGTGCCGTGCCCCTCCCTCAGTGTCAGGGACGGAACCTTCTTGCTGGGCAGGCACCCTTGGTGTGCATCCTGTGCCTGAAGTGTAATGAGCGAGATCCATTCACCAACTGACAATTTCCCCCAATTAATTGTGCATTATTTTTGTCCTTTAATTTAAGACATGCAATTAACTGTGATTTACTGCACTTGGGCACGTGTTTGTGTCTGAGATGAAGGAAACACAGTGTAAACTGCGGAGAAACTAGACAGTCAAAATGGGGTGATGCCAGGCAGTGGAACAATGAGAAACTAGGTCTTCATTCAGAGTCTGATGTATGAAGAGCTTTAGAAACAGTTTTTTTGTGCTACCTCCTTGTATGTGAAAAATACCACAAAATTTTAATCAAAGGAGACAAATGAAATCTGTATGATTATTGCTCCCAAATTGTGAATGCTACTACCTTTATTAGAAAAATGTATTGGGGAAAATGAGAGAAACGCACTGGACTTGATTGAGTGTATTCTCTGTGCCAGACACTTAGATATTTTTGTTTCAATGTCTCTTCAACCTAGTCAGGTATAGTAACCTATATTTTTGAGAGAGGCATGAGACTGAGAGAGAGTTAGGATGGTGCCTGGGCTTGATCACATAGGTCAGTGGTTGCAAAGCTGGAATTCAGGTGCTCTATCCCCTATTTTTCACTCTCAGGTGGCGCAGGGTCTTTGTGTTTATACACACCGACATGGTACCGTACAGAACTGCCTAATTCCTAGTAAATTATCGATCCTTAAGCATATATATTCAATTTTCTACATAAAACAAATATGACACCCACACTATAAATAAATTACACAAATACCAAAAAAAAGAATGCATCACTTAATTGAAAGAACATTTTATCATTTGACTAATTCAATAATAGTAAGTGAATTTAACTTGAGTACTTGGAGACTTTACCTGCTGGCCGAGGTAAACCACATGATAATGCGTTTGCTGACCCATTCAGGTTCAAAGGGCAGTTCTGAATTCCAGGTGGTCAAAATGCTGTAACTATTTTCTTTTTCTTGTGAGCAAAGTTATATTTGAGCAGTTACCTGAGGCTTATTTTCTATACGCAGTTTGAAGAAGGAGATTACCCATGATTTAGAGTCACCGTGGCTTTCCTAATGCAGAGGTTGGTCCTGCCTGTGTATAATACAATAATAACATGAGGCAGAGGCATTCAGGCTGGTTTCTGAAGAGGGCTTCATCTTTACATTATCTTTGAGAAAGAACGTTTCAGGTCTCTTATCCAGCCTGTGTCTTCACCCTTTGCTCCTCCTTACCTGCTGTGGTACAGTCAACCCCAAACTCGTTCCCGTATCAGAGCCTCTTACTTAGCCTTGCCCTTTGCCTGGAGGACTCTTCCTCCTGCTTCTCACTGTGGCTGCCACTTTCTCATCATACAGATCAGAGATCACGCGTCACCTCTTCAAAGAGGCCACCTTTCCGGAAGTCAGACCTTTCCCATCACTGTCATCCAGTTTAACTTCTTCATTAGCACTTGCAGTGCATTGAAATTGTTTTGTTCACTTGTTTGTCTGTTTTTTTATTCTGCTACTTGTAAGTTTCTTGAGGACAGGTACTTGGCCTTTTTTGCTCACTGTTGTCTGTGTTATGTTTAGAAGCATGCTTAGCACATAGTAGGTGCTCAGTAAATATTGGTTGAGTGAACAAAAAAATATGCATGACTACAATGAATAATTGTGTAAAGACCAAGACCCACCTGAATTTACTAGTTTCTGCTTGATTTATTTTGGCAAAACAGTTTGCAAATTAATTTTCTCTTCATCACTGCTGTCCTGGCTGGGCACAGTCATGAGTGTAAGTGAAATTTGATGACTTTAGATAGTGTTGGAGCCTCAGGATTGCTTTGAGGCTCTGATATATAGGCTCTACATACCTGTTTGGTATTTACTATATTTGTAACCTCAGGCTGCAGAAATAAGTGTCACTGAGTGAATGTAAAGATGCACAAAAGATGTATAAGATCTGAAGATCCTACTGTGCAGACATTTAATGATTTTCTAATTGTACTGTTATTGAGAACAAAGTGTGTTGAGCATTGAATTAGGAGACCTGGCTCTGTCTATAACTAGCTTGTGACATTCAAGAAGTCATTTATCCCCCCTAAGCCTTAGGGTCCTCAACTGAAAAATAAGAGTATTGAACCGACACTTTCTAAGATCCCTTTCGGTGCTGGTTTTTTATGTTGTACGTTTCTGAAATTATTAACTTATTTTCTAATAACCAGATATTCACTGGTGGATAAAAATCTGTCCATTGAATCTGGAATCAATGCTATACCACCTCTCCTTAGAATCTAATTTTTTATTCTAGCTTCTAGAAATTCAAATAGATGAGAGCCACGCTTTTTGAGATATACATTGAGATCACATTAAAAGAAAGTTATTGAAGTATGACAAGTAAATGCATAAATAAATTTGCCTAGAAATTAATGTTCATTTGCAGTATGAAACATGAAAACATAAAGGTACTTTTTCAGGTAAATGAGATTAAAACAAAATAGATGAGTCTGTATAGTTAAAGCTTCCTGCAATTCTTACAAGATGATGATGGTGTCATGCACATTTCCCAGCCATTCCTCTGCTGTTTTTAAGGGTCATGGCCTTGCTATATGGAAAGACAGCTGGGTTAAATTTGCCCCTGTAAAAAAGAGAGTGACAACTCTGTAATATAAGCACTTAAGGTCTTGGCTTATTTCGCTGGCTTTTCCTAATGTAGGAACCGAGTTAAATAGCTCAGTGGTTTTAATCAAGTAAAATTACACAGCTCTTTCCCACCAGAGGTCTAAAATATTATCGTCCTAATGTTAGTAGTTTTCTCCTTCTGGCTGTTCCTTGCCT